CGTTCTATTTAAAGTAATTTAAATTAATTACATCAAAAGTTCTGCTTTTTCCACTCTCCCATGTCATTAACCTTTTGGAAACATAGATTAGTGGCCGATTAAAAGAATACCCACCCATCAGTATTGCACAGGAAAGTGGATTTACGTCAGTGTCTTTTTTTGTGTGTCCAATTTGTCAAAAAGATGGTTGAAAGTATATTATGCCATATTTGAATATTCCCTAGGGTGAATAATGTAGAAGTCTCAATTAATATAATTAATTATTTTTAAGTTCATTAATAATTAAGTTAATTTCTTAAACTCAGTGGTCAATGAATTTGAGAATAATTAATTATATGAGACTTTAAAGTAATTCTTTTTATTTTTTATTATATAAAAATTAAAGCAAGCATGAAGCTTGCTTTTGAGTTTCAATTTTTTAGGATTTGTCGCTTTTATTTGGCATAGATTCGATACAAGTTATGAATTGTATTTTTATTAAAAATAAATGAGTAAATTATTTTTTAAACTCTGAGTTCAGTGGTATCATAGACCATGGACTTTTTTATTATGTAAATTGTTCTCTTAATTGTTAAAAATGGTATAATTTGACCCTTGTCATTAATAAAAATTAACTTTAATTATTAGTTTATTAGAAAATGATAGAAAAGTACATCAATAATTATAAAAAATGACAAAAAATTGGTATTTTTTGTAATTTGTTGTGCCCTTGTCTTAATTTTTGGGGTCCTTTTATGGTCAACTAATAAGCAAAGTGAATTTTTGTTAATAGTGAAGGTCAAATTATACTATTTTTAAAAATCAAAGAAATAATTTATATAATAAATAAGTTTACGGTCTATGGTATCACTAAAAGTAAAATTTAAGGGGTAATTTACTCATTTATCTTTTTACTAATAAAAAGTATAAAGACAACATTACTTTAAAAATATAGATTCAAAAATATGTGAGATTCTAAACTCTTTTTTAATGTATTTTTACTTTTTAACATTTAAAAATGTTACAATTTCTCCCCTCGTATATCTATCAAAACATAAGAACATTGACTGTTTAATTCTATAAGAAAAAATAGTTTGACTTAACTGTTAATGTCCTTGCATTTAATGGGAGGCAACAAATTGCAACGCTTTTAATTTTTGAAGGGCAAAAGTGTACCAAATTTTTTTTACCCTTCTAGATATTTTTGGATCAATGATTTGAAGGCAAAATTGTATTTTCACCCACTAAAAGGCGCACACACACCCCCATATTAACAATTAATTTATAGGTTGAACATAATTTTAGATTGAGTTGTTGGTTTGGAGGTTTCCTACTTGATGCATGTAAAGTGGCTTCCCTCTTTTACAGTTGGAATGCTGAATTGGATGTGGTTATTCAAATCTTAATATTTTTATAGAGTAATTAAACTTTGATTTGAACTATTGATAACAATAACGATGGAGACGTAATGATGAGAAGTTTAGTGAAAAAAAATTCAGGGACATGTATTTATATGTTTATTGAGCCACATAAGCTTTTGAAGACTCAGACTTGTTTATTTATTTTTTGTCAAGAAAATAATGCAGTTTCATTTAAAATTATATGTTTTCATGCTGATGCATATGATGTTAAGGAGAGACAGAGATGACTCGCTTGATGTATACTATAAAATTATTTGAGAGTTTTGTTTTACTTTTTTTTTTTATTTGGGCGTGCAAGCATGCCTTGCAATATGTCCACGATGTTGTTGACATTAAAGTGAGAATCAATCCTCCATTATGACGACGACGAGGACTTTTGTCTCTACATATTCTTGCATGCATGTTTCATTATTGCTTCCCTCACAAGCTTTCATCTTATTCGTGTTTTGTGATTAATCACCGTGGCTTCCTCTATCCCCTTTGAATTTTTTTTATTGATAATAATAATAATAATAATAATAAGTGAGTTGAACCCTAAAAACTTATTTGAATCAGTGTATATTCTAATATTTAAAACACACTTATGAAAATATTTAAACATTGTTCATAAATAAAGTTCTCGTTTAACAGTAAAATTTAAACAAACTAACTTACCAATTATGAGTTGGGATAAAACTACATAACCTTTTTAGCTTTTTTGAAATCAATACACGTGCATGACTTTCTTTTGGTGTCAGCGGACATTTAATTAAGAAAAATTTACTTTTTTTATTTAACTGAATCTCAGCAAAATAAAATAATTAGTTATTTTTAAATTAATTTATTTTTTATATTTATTCTTATTGAATATTTTATTTTTTTATATTTATTCTTGTTAAATATTTTAAAATAAATATAAAGTTATTATTAATAAGGACATTATTAAAAATAATAATTATACCTTAAAAGATTAAAAATATTTTATATTTTTAAATATTCAACTTTTTAAAAATGTCGTATATTTTTTAACAGAGAGAATATCTTTTATCCAGGGATTTTTATTGTGTACATCCTCATCGTTATTGTTATGAGGATGTAATAATAGAAGGGGCTTTGTTTAGTTCATGTCAATATTTTTAATTCATTTGATGTTATTCAAATAAAAATATTAAGTCCATGACAAATGTTTTAATAATGATTTGCAAAGGAAAAAAGACGTTAGTTAACAAATTTAATATTCCATCCATTCAAAAATTAAAGCATTTTTAATCAAATCTCACTTTCAACAAAGTTTTTATTTACTTTCAAACCAACCTTATCTTTTTATATTTGCCCTTATTAACTATCCTATAATAAATATAAAGCCATTATCAATAGAGACACTTTAAAAAAAAGATGATGATTATATCTCGAAAGATTAAAAATGCTTTATATTTTTAAACATTTAGCTCCTTACAAAATGCTTTACATTTTTGAATGGAGGGAGTAAATTTTTTTAATTTTTCTCAATGTGAGTGGCCACATCTCCGGAATGTTACCTGTTATTTCTTTTAATACCATGATCTATGCAGTCAAAATTTCAATGGAATGCATTTTCTTAAGGAAAATTTAACTAAAGTTTCTTTCTCTAACAGTGGGTAAAATATTGTATGAGGAAAAGTTTAAAAATTGAAGAAGAATCAACATGAAAAAATAGATACTCCCTCCATTAAAAAATATAAGATATTTTTTAAAGAATTGAGTGTTTAAAAATATAAAACATTTTTAATCTTTCGAGTTGTAATCATTGTCTTTTTTTCAAAGTGCCCCTATTAATAATGACTTTATATTTATTTTAAAGTGTTTAATAGAGATAAATATAAAAAAATAAAATTAATTAAAAAATATGCAACTATTTTATTAAAAATAAAATTTAATTAAAAAAATTTAATATTTTTAAACAGAGATATTATTTTTTTTTTTATATTCCGTGAAGATATTTTCTCCGCAGAGATATAGATATTTAGCAGAGTAGTAATTCAGGAAATGGAGTGAAAAATAAGAAGATATGATGTCATACTTCCATGTTTGATGACGTGTCCCCAATTGGATTCAGAGTTCAGATTTATCGTCTTACAGCAGTCCGTACAGGAACGAAACTTCTTGTTTAATAACTCCGATGACGAAATCTCCCAGCACCATACTCGCGTTCTGAGCGACACGTTGGATTCGCATTAGCTGACACGTGCGTTCACTGTAGCTCAAGAAAGTAACACCGATATTTCATGAAAAAAGACCATTTCAAATGTTTTCAAAAAGATCATTTTTAATATTTTATTAAAAAGATTATAGCTAGACAGCACTAAAAAGAATAGATTTTTTGTTTAATTTTACTTTGTAAGGTTACTTCCACATTATTAATGGAGTTAATAATTTAAATAGGCTGAACTAATTTAAACTTAAATTGAACAAACTTAATTTTTCAAAAAACTTGAATGACTAAATACGATCTTGATTTATTTAAATTTTAGGTAGCTCAAATACTCACATTTTTACTTTAAAATTAATTTTGATTCTATTCTTTTCTTTAAAATTCATTAAAATATATTTTTGTATTTAAATAATGTATAAGACTCAACTTTTTAAGAAATATGTATTAAAATACATTTTAAATATTATGTTGAGATATATTTTAAATTAAAAATAATAAAAATATGACAATAAAAATATTTTTAATTAAAAATTAATTAATACTTATTATATTTATACATTTTATATTGGATATTTGGGCCAAATCTGAATCCAAACTTGACCGAATTTATATTTCAATAAATTGATTAATTATCTTTAAAATCATATGCTCTTTCCATCTCTACTTTTATTTAACATGGTGTTTTAATTTAAAAAAATTATTAATTATACATCTTAATTAAATTTTTTTTAAAAAATATATTAATTATATTTTAAAAGACTCAAAATATTTTATATTTTAAAGGTTTCACATTTTTAAAAGAGGAAGTATAAAATAATCTTTTCAATCAAAATACTTGTTACATATACAAATCATTCGAGTCTTCTAGAATGGTCTCGTTGCCAGAAGAAGAAGAAGTTAACAATAACATCCAGTCATTCACCTATGGTTTTTATAAAAACATTCAAAATAATGACGGAGTAATTGAAGTGAAGAGAATAAAAGTTCATTGGATAACTTGTAAAATGCTTTTATAAATACAAATAGCGATCAGTCATGATGAGAAAAATCTGATTGTTTAAACGTAAGATCTTAGGTTTTAGTTCGTTCAAGTTCTATTATATTAGTAGGATCCTAATATTTCTTCTTGTTTTTTGTCCCCCCCCCCCCCCCCCACACGAGGATACTAGTACTTCTCAATTCTCAAAATCAGTGAATGGCACCTATCGTAATTTCCTCTAAATCCATGACCAACTTCCTTGAGGGAGAACCTCCTCTCTTCCCACGCTCACTTTGAGAATAAAAAACCCACACGCCTTTGGTGGCCTCTGGGCGAGTGGGCGGTGATATTATACAGTACGTCAAAACCTTACTGGTGTGTAACCGCCACGTGTGCGAATCAGGTTCGTCTGTTCCCTTTATAAATAAACCTAGGCTAACGCAACCCTCACTCGTCATACGTAGGGTTGTGTTTAGTTAGCTTTATTAGGGGACGGTGCGGCCTCTCCTCACCCACCACGGAAGGGGGAGGGGAGAGAGAGAGTGAGGGCGCTGTGTTGGGTGTTAGGGGAAGACGATGATTTGGTTACCTCACCGCGCGGTCTCTAATTCGCTTGGTGCAGGTCGGGAACCGGTTCTGCTTCAACTACTTTGCCGGATGGCGCGTAATGGACGGTTCCCTTCCCGGCGTTGAATCGGATCCCGCCTTGCATCAACTGAATCGGAGACCGCGGTGAAGCTTTGCATGGATCTCGGTTTTTCTGGCGATTATTGCTCAGATCTCAGGTCGGAGTTCTTATAGTTAGGATTTTTATACTCATCGAATTCTGGTGAATCAGATCCGAATATTTTAGATTTGGTAGTTTATCTCGATGTTAGTTGACATGGTTGATGTTAATCTGCTACTATAGATCTTGATACCTGACATTGGATTTTTTTTATTCTGAATCTAAGAACTATTAATAGATACGGATGAAATTTCCATGCTTAGATTTGATTTTGTTTTGGCCTGAGATTCGATTCATTTAGTAATTCGAAGCTGAGTTGATGGTTTAATTTTGAAAATTCGGAAGGGAAAAGCTTTATAATTATACCATTCGAGCAGAGTCTAGTCCCTGCTGTGTCTGATTTAATCTAATGTAAGTGTTTGATTCATAAATAATTTTGACACTTGGTTGAAATTCGATTACTAGGTGATACAAGCATCACCTACGCGTCTTTTTCTTTTTTTTTGGGACAAAATCACCTACGCTTCTGGGCTGCGACATTATTTACTTTGTTTCTGGTACATATGCTGGTTCATGCTGCTTTTCAGTGTTACCTTCGTTTTAGAACAGAAGCAGTAGTTTTAAAATTCTTTTCTTTCTTTTTAAGCGTGTCCTGTGATATACTGAGGAGAAATGAAAGGCCTGCTTGGTTGGTAAATTAACCATATTAGTGTAACTCGTCTCTAAAACTCCAAATGATTAAATAAGGGGCTGTCTTTGATCTTTACAACGTCAAACCAGTAAGTCTTGACTCTCTTTGGTTTGAGATTTATTTGGGAATCTGAAGGATGAAGTGTGATGAATTCAATATACCAAAAGGAATTCATATCTGTAGAATGTATTGTTAAATTTGAAATAATACGAGAAGTGAAATGCAAGTGGTACAGTTTTTAAAGTAATAAACGATAGTTAACATCAAGCTTGTGTATTAGATTCTGATTGCCCAGTGGAGATATGTTAATTGGTAAGACCCTATACTTAGTTTTAATTAGTTACCGAGATCAAGAGCTCTGTTTCTACAGCCTGGCAGGAAAAAATAAGGACTTTCCAATCTGCATCTTGTCACTGAATCTAACTTTTTTCCCAACACTGCTTATAAAAGTTTTCTTATAATAATTTTAATGACAGTGGACCTAACGGGTGTGTTCAAAGATACCTAATTACCTCTTGCTTAACATGTGGGTATGTGATCTGGAAATCCAGAGTTCCTTCAGTTTTTGTTTCTTTTCAGTTATGACGCATCTGTTGGTTGTTCCTTTCTCACATTACCATCTGCTATGAAGGTGTGGTGCAGACCTTACAAATATTTGCAGTCTAGTAAGTCCGCAAGAATTATTTATGGATGCCATTTGAAGTAGCATCTAACTCAAATCTTAAGCTCCGTGAAATTGGGGAACTCCTATGCATTTGAAGTGTGAAGATTAAATGTTCTGATAATCAACATTGGAGTCAATTTATCAGTCCAACAAATTTCAAGATGAAAACTGCTGTTGTTTGGTAATTATGTTAATACTTTATAGTTTGATGTTTCTCAGAAAATTCTGAGATTCAAAAGAACAGTGTTTACCTTTTGTTCTACAAGATGCATGCTTCTGTTTCAGATGTTTTGAGTCTATTTGTTCAATTCAATAATATTATTTTCCGTGATTTTGTCCCTAATCAGTAAAATGGACTTGAATTTTCAGGCTTGGTTATCTCTATGCTATGCAAGGTGTTGTTTTAGCTTATCCTTCAAATTAAATACGTGGGGGTTAAAAAGAAGGCAGTTGTAGATCGCAGCGAAAATTATTGAACAAATAATGGAGTCCAATACAAAAGTGTTATAGGAAGGTTAAAAAAAACACGTAAATAATAAGTTATTGAATGAGGCCTTTTTAGTGAACAATATATCAAGATATTTGGTTGTTGATGTAATACAATAACATTCAGGTAGCTGACTATACTTAGACAAGGTTAATCCTTTGCATATTCTGAGAAGGAGAAGATCGCACAGGCTAATTGCGGTTCAATAAACTGTTATTATGCACTTGTCTTGTGTATCCTCTGGGATAAATTATGAGCTGCATATGTGTCGTCTGTTTTGTTTTGGTTCTCAACAATCTGAATTCCTGACTCAAGTATACATTGTCTAGGGTTTGAACTAGCCATTATTATGTACGGAGGAAATTATGATGTTCGCTTACCCGCTTCCTTGACTCCATAATTGCATTTCGACTGCCCGTCGGTGGTAAGATAGCATTAGTTTCGGTCTTTAAGGGCCTACCTGAAAAGAAAGATTCTTATTGACCAAAAAGAAAAGAAAAGATACTTGATAATTTTTAGGGGACTGTAGAATTTTTTTTTTTCCTGTTCTAAATCCATATCATGTGGTTCCCGCTCGTACCCCGGATTTTGGTTTTAGGGTGAGTTTTATAGCACTTTTTGTTCTCAGGTTTTAAACAGATATTTTAACTTCAATGGATTTTCTCATACGCAATCAATTAAGAAATGTTAAGATTCTACTTACAAGAAATTGAGGAATGAAATAAATTCTGATCGAACAGGTAAAGCGCGGGTTTAATGAATAACATGCGCGATATGCCTGATGCATCTATATTTGATTGAGCGACACGTTGATGTGATGATGGAATGAGCTTTGAAGATTCTTTTCATTCGTCTTTTTTTTTTTTTTGGAAAGATTCTTTTCATTTGTTAATATTGATTAGGTTGCTTGATGCGCCCCCCCCCCTCTCGGCTCTTGGAGGCAAAAACATTAAAAAAACAAAGAAAGGAAACAGAGAAAAGTAACCCGCAAAGGAGACGCATTTCTTAGATGGTTCACTCACCCATTTTGATCTCGGGTTTTTGGGGGGCTTAATCTACTCATTTGGATTTTTACTCCATGGGATTTAGATAATTATATCTTTTTAATTACGAGTTGGAAAAATGTTTGTGAGAGAGAGAGAGAGAGAGAGAGAGAGAGAGAGCATATTTCATACACAGGGTCTTTTCTCATGTCCTTTTTCCTATTAAAAGGTATTCAAATTGATTGGCCAAATTTAACTTGGATCCTGGTTATTACTCAAATAAATTACTTGGGAATCAAAATTGAGTTTTGCTTTCTCTGTTAAAAATCGTTTATAATTTTATGTTATTTTGAAATTTTAAGACAACATTAATCGCTAGAATAAATGAAGTATATTAAGAAAAATGAAAATAGACAAAGAAGGAAAGAGTGGTATGGTTGAATCTAAAAGATTAATCCAATTAAAGTCCTAAAACAATTATTTGCAACTAATGCACTCTTATGTACATGGTAGAGTATAAATTTCAACTATCTCTCCACAACTTCCACTCCAACCCTGTCTTTTTCGGCTTTTCAAAACCCAGCGTATTAGAAGGAAAACCCAGGATTCACGTGGTTGGAAATGGCCACATATTTCATTTCATTGTGCCTTTGTCATGCCTTCCAGGTTAGGTTAGGTCCCGAATTTTCTTATTTTAATAGATTTGATTTAACGTATCAAGGGGAATGGGGGGGATCACAGCTATGATGTCAACTCAAATATTCACGAGTTTCTCGATTATCCACGTGGTTTGACGTTGGATTTTCGGCCAAGAAACACGCCTTTGCCTCTTGCTTTTTGACAATAAGCTCCTTACCACATGGCTTATGTTCTGCCTAAAATTATTAGGATTAAAAGTCCATTTTTTACTCCTAAATCATTTCGTGAGTAATGATTGTCATAAGCCATTTTATATATCGGGGCAATATCATTCTTTAATTGTCAAGATCATTGCAAATATTGTTGTTTGACTAACGGTCGACGTTTATTGTTAATTTCAGAGTGATTTGGATTAAAAAACATTTTTATTTCAAAAGTGTTCAGAGAAGTAATTTTGATACCTTCGTGTTTTTTTTTTCAATCAAAACATTTGACAAAATCTCTCGGATATCATATGGCTTGTTAATTAAGTATTTATTTATTTTTTTAAAAAAAAGTCTATCAACTCAGGCTAACGATTGGTTAGCAGTGTTGTCCCAAGTTATATATACATATCTTGACTTGTTTACTTGGTAACCATCAATTAAAAAAAATCTCTCAGCTTGCACTAATGGTCAATGTCAACACATAAACATAATGCACATGTTTTGGTCAAAAGAAAACAAGATGAAGAAATAGATGTCATTAGGCTTGTCAACTAAACATTCATCAATAACAAAATGCTCGCAAGCCCACGTAACTGTTAACTATGTTGTCACGTTTTATATATGCCTACCCTATCTAGTTATAGGATCGACATGATTTGGGTTATATAGTTATTTGATTGGATCTTAATTAAGCATTGTCATGTTTAATTAAAGGTCATTCTTCAAAAAAATAAAAATAAAAAAATTTGCACTCATACGTGCTTTAACTTGATGTCGTACTTCAGTGGTAGCACTTTCCCCGAGGACAAAATTTCAAAGCAGACGTAATTTGATTAAAACGGACCAAAACCTAAACTTATGACGGTGCTATTAGTTGATCATGAGTATAGATTGACGATAAATTTTTTTAATTGATGAACATTCAGTCTAAATATGATGCAAACATATTGCAGCTAAAAAAAAAAAAGTGTCCGTTGCTCTATATTATTGAACTTCAGGATGTCAAATACTTTTTCATGAATAATTTACTAAAGGCAATAATCATTTTTAACTCAAAATCTATTTGGAATTAACTATTATCGTCAGTGTTGGGGCGTCAAACGATAACCTTGCAATAATTGTGGCACCTGAAAAATAATATTGCTCTGATAGATAATTTGGGATACTCGCGAAATAGTCTGGGGATGCAAAAATATCAAACAACCCAAATTATTACTACGTCCCTCGACAATAACTGCTTTGGTTACAGAGTCCAGTATTTGAAACTGATCCTTTTTCTTTTGACTAATGATCAAGTTAACTGTAAGTAGTCAATTGGGATGATGATGGCAGGCATGAACAATGAGCGATATTATTGAATTTACTTACATGTGAAAATCCTAGTCGACTTCAACCACTGTTGAAGTTTGTCAGATTTGCGGAAACGTGTTGAGCGCACTGGAATGTCAATCTGCAAATGTGGAAATTCCTTATTGCTTACCAGCAACAGAGAATTTCATAATTTATGGGAAAGTGGGAAGGTATTGAAACAAAAAGTTCTGACGAACAGTGCTATATATGTTTTTCTATGCCGGAAACACATTGTGTTGTGTGTTTTTCCTTGTTCTGCATAACAGCCATAGCATTGGGGTTCAGCTCCCCCAAGTTTTGCCATGAATGGAGATTCCTTTTGGTTGCCCTTTGACTTTTCGCCTAGGTTCCTTTTTACTTTAAATGACAAAAAACAATAGAATATATGAATGGGATCATTGTTGCTCTTAACTGGATTTGGGCAAAAAGCAATGAAGCTGTGCCCAAGAAAACTTTATTGCTTCTCAGCCTTGCAAAATTCTAGTCGTCATGCTTCTTATCTAAATGTACAACTCAAGCCTCGCTCAGGATAGGACAGCCTCTCTACCACGATGGCAATATTAGATCATTCAGGTCATAAAATTAAAACCAAAGAGGGTAAATTTCTTGACTGGCCGTTTTCTTGAGGCCCTCTGCGCACTCATCGCTAACAAGTTCTCCCTTACCTTATCTCCTCTAGGACACCATCAAAACAAGAGATATGCAAAATTGAATTGTTATCTTCAATCATGCTTTTAGATATGTTAATAAATACGTGCATTTGTTAGCTTATCAGTTCATGACTCATAATATCATTATTTTAAACTTTTTATCTTTAGGACATAAAAACTTGTTAATTTTTTATGAGTTAATTTTATTATCTCCTTACATGGGTTTTCGTAGCCGTCAATAAAAAAAGAAAAAGGGTCATACACCTCAAAACCAACTTAAGATTATGTGACAATTAATGTCGTCTTTTTTTCCCCCCAAAACTAACTCAAATGATCCATTTCAAGCTGCCAAAATATCATAGATAGAACATAAACTGAGATACCCCCATTTACTACCCTTTATTAATCATCATAAAATGCTCTCCATGACTGGCATGATAAGTCTTGAATGGGTGATTGGAGCTACCTCACAACTTGAGGATGGTTGTCTTGTTGCACTTGGAGTTGTCCTCCATAACATGAATCCTTCTCAAGGTGCGAGTAGAAGAAATCTCATTCTATACTGCCACAAAAGATGCTCCTTCTTCATCCTTAGCATCTTTCTCAGAGATGACTTTATTAATTAGTTCCCCTATTAAGCAAGATATATATTTCATCTTGGATGTTATTTTTTCAATTAAAGTTTTTATATCTATTTTTAATGAAGGACATTTTCCTAACATTCAGAGCCTGTTTGATTCAAGGGGAGGGGAGAGAAAAGGGAGAGGAGGTGAGGGGAGAGGGGAGCTCTCCTCCAATTTAGAGGGGAGGCTTTGGAGGGGAGGGGAGGGGTTCCAACCAAACACAGCCTCATTCTTAGAATGACTTTAACCATGTCATCACGGTTACTAAAAAACAAAAACGTATTCTCTCTTCTTGACTCTAATTAAAATTGACTTTCATTCTCTGTCATTTTGGACTTAGTGGATCTTCAAATCCTTTCTTCTTTTCTTCCAAACTTCTTTAATGGGTTAAGCCCAAGAAGGCTATTTAAGGTGCGAAAATATTTTTAAAAATCTTTTTTTAAGAGTTTTTGATATTCTCAACCCAACAATGATGCATGAGTGTTTATTAACTTTATATAGGAGGTAAACTTTCTCCAATCTATTAAAATAGCCTGGCCTTAATTGTTAAGTTTTCAGAATATAATTTAATGGATTGGAAAAGTTACAATCTTTTATAAAATTAATTAATGGGTATTCATACATAATTATTAATTTAAGTATACCAAAAGCCTCAAAAGCAAATGTTTTTAAGTATTTTTGCATTAACATCATGTTTAAAACTTCAATACCATATCATTCAGGTTTCAAATATTTGAGGAGGGCACCTCAATGCCTTCTAAAAGCTTCTTGTACATAGTCCCATTTATGAGTCGTTTGACAAAGTGAGTTTATACTACTTCTAATGGTACGATTCCAATGGTGAATTTATATTGTTTGAGTGGTAAATCATGGTAAATATCATTTCAATTATAAGTTAGCTCTATTTTAGGGGTAAATATCCGTAACTCAACTGATAAATTCATGCTATGTGAGTGGTAAGTTTGGAGCCCTTGAAAATAAGTAACTTATAAATTTGATGCTGAGAAATAATTTTTGCTTTTTTGATAATATTAATGCTATAAATAAGTACATATTTATTTTATGGTGGAGGGACGGATTAGAATTTAGAAGGGGTAAATAAGATTTTTATTAAAAAAAACAAGAAGAGATAAATAAGATTAGATTGGAAATTATTGTAGTTAATTAATTAAGGATACTAGTGGAAAGATGTGATAATTTTAAGAATATTAATTAAATTTAAGCAACTTTCTTTACCTTAGTAAATTAATTAGAAATTGCTCATATACTTCTTCTGTTTCAAATTATAAGGGTAATTTTTTTAAAAAATTTCATCTCAAAATATAAAATACTCTGAATAAATTAATTACATTGTCACGTGTTATATATGCCTACCCTAACTAGTTATCGGATTGACATGGTTTGTTTTATATAATTATTTGATTGGGTTATAATTAAGCATTGTCCTGTTTAATTAAAGGTCATTATTTCAAAAAAAAAAAATTTTGGCACTCACACATGCTTAAACTCGATCTCGTACTTTAATGGGAGCACTTTCCCTGAGGACAAAATTTCAAAGCAGACATAATTTTATTAAAACTGACAAAAACCTGATAACTTATGATGGTACCATCAGTTGATCGCGAGTGTAGGCTGAAACTTTTTTCTTAATTGATGAACATTCGGTCTGAATATGATGCAAACATATTACAGTGAAAAAAAAAAAGTGTCCGTTCCTCTATATTATTGAACTTCATGATGTCAATTACTTTTTCATGAATAGGGCAATAACCATTTTTAACTCAAAATCAACTTGGAATTAACTATCATCGTCAGTGTTGGGGAGTCAAAGGATAACCTTGCAATAATTGTGGCATCCGAAAAATAATATTGCTCTGATAAATAATTTGGGATACTTGTGAAATAGTCTAGGGATGCAAAAATATCAAATAACCCAAATTAGTACAACGTCCCTCGACAATCACTGCTTTGGTTACAGAGTCCAGTATTTGAAACTGGTCCTTTTTCTTTTGACTAATAATCAAGTTAACTGCAAGTAGTCAATTGGGATGATGATGGCAGGCATGAACAATGAGCAATATAATTGAATTTACTTAAATGTGAAAATTTTAGTCGACTTCAAGCACTGTTGAAGTTTGTCAGATTTTGTGGAAACGTGTTGAGCGCACTGGAATGTCAATCTGCAAATGTGGAAATTCCTTATTGCTTGCCAGCGACAGAGAATTTCATAATTTATGGGAAAGTGGGAAGGTATTGGCACAAAAAGTTCTGACGAACAGTGCTATATATGTTTTTCTTTGCCGGAAACACACTGTCGTGTGTGTTTTTCCTGTTCAGCATAAAAGCCATAGCATTAGGGTTCAGCTCCCCCAAGTTTTGCCACGAATAGAGATTCCTTTTGTTTGTCCTTTGGCTTTTCGCCTCGGTTTCTTTTTTACTATAAATGACAACAACCAACAGAATATATGAATGGGATCATTGTTGCTCTTAACTGGATTTGGACAAAAAGCAATGAATCTGTGCACAAGAAAACTTCATTGCTTCTCAGCCTTGCAAAATTCTAGTCGTCATGCTTCTTATCTAAATGTGCAACTCAAGCCTCGCTCAAGATGGGACAGCCTCTCTACCACAATGGCAAGATTAGATCATTCAGGTCTTAAAATTGAAACCAAAAAGGGTAAATGTCTTGACTGGCCATTTTCTTGAGACTCTTGCATGCGCACTCATCAATCAACTCTCCTTGATTTATCTCCTCTATGACACAACCAACAAGCAACTATGCAAAATTGAATTATTATCTTTAATCATGCTTTTAGATAGCTAATAAATACGTGCATTTATTAGCTTATCAGGTCATAATCCATAATATCATTATTTTGAACTTTCTATCTTTAGGATGTAAAAGCTTGTCAATTTTTTACATGATTTAATTCTGTTGCCTTGTTTTACACAGTTTTTCATAGCTATCAATTAAAAAAAGAAAAAGAGTCGCACACCTCAAAACCAGCCTAAGATTATGTGATAATTGTATGTCAGTTTTTTTTAAAACTAACTCAAATGATCCATTTTAAGCTGCCGAAATGTCAGATATAGATAGAACATAAACTATGATACATCCATTTACTTCCCTTTACTAATCATAATAAAATGCTCTCCATGACTGACATGATAAGTCTTAAATGGGTGATTGGAGCTACTTCGCAACTTGAAGATCTTGTTGCAGTTGGAGTTGTCCTCCATAACATGAATCCTTCTACAGGTGCAAGTAGAAGAAATCTCATTCTATACTGCCACAAAAGATGCTTCTTCATCCTCAGCGTCTTCCTCAGGGATGACTTTATTAATTAGTTCCCCTGTTAAGCATGATATATATTTCACCTTGTATGTTATTTTTCCAATTAAAGTTTTTATATCTGTTTTTAATGAAGGACATTTTCCTAAACATTCGTTCTTAGAATGACCTTTATCATGTCATCACAGCTACTAAGAAAAAATGTATTCTCTTTTCTTGACCCCAATTAGAATTGACTTTCATTCTCTGTCATTTTGGGCTTAATGGATGTTCAAATCCTTTCTCATTCTCTTCCAAACTTCTTTAATGGTCTCTTTCCTTGACCCCAATTAGAATTGACTTTCATTCTCCGTCATTTTGGCTTAATGGATGTTCAAATCCTTTCTTATTCTCTTCCAAACTTCTTTAATGGGTTAAGTCCAAGAAAACTGTTTAACATGGAAAAATATTCTTTAACCCTACAATGATGTATGAGTATCATTAACTTTATAAAGGAGATAAATTTTCTCCAATCTATTAAAATTGCTTGACCTTAATTGTTAAGTTTTAAGAATATAATTTAATGGATTGGGAAAAGTCACAATTTTTTATAAAATTAATGGGTATTCATACATAATTATTAATGTGAGGATACCAGAAGCCTCAAAAGAAAACGTTTTTAAGCATTTTT